ATTTTATATAACTTTTCTTCTCAGTTTAACCCAATCTACTATAATCTTTGGGGTCGTCCATATCGAATCAAACACCCTGTATAATTCGCAAGGTGGAACCAGTAATCTTACACCGCTGCGTGACATAAATAAATGACAGGAATATTACAGCATACATATTGAAGCAGTAAGATCTTTTTTTTCCTCCAAGGCAATGAGGTCAACTTCTTCATGATTAACTAACCATATCAGAATTTAATGACTGGCACACCGATAGCTTCCCAATAGCGTGATTAATTTCGCCCCCCCCCCCCCCTCGGACCAGGAGGAATTATAGCTTGTGAGAGCATGTATATGATTACAGGTGCAACCCTCCCATACCGTTGCGTTGTTGCCAGCGCTTTTCGCGAAGTCCTCCATCTGCTACAATCCCATAATATATGCGATTATGACTGTCCAGTTCCCCAAAATTTGGAAGAAAAATGTTTTCCATCAATCGAAACGTTAACAACAAGCAACAGTACGGAAACGAACTTGGAAGGAGATAAAGGCGAGGAATATCAACCGTTTTACAGCCAAATTGGGTAGAAAGATATAATAATATACAGGGTGAGGCATTTAAAACTGTTTTTCAGAATATTTGGAAAAATACAAATCGGATTAAAAAAAAGTTGCAATAAAAGTTGTTCACCTCGAAGAGGGACATTCATTAACATAAAGCTCGACCCCCTGCACCACCCCCGGGGGCGGGAGGGGGTCGAGCTTTATGTTAATGGATGTCCCTCTTCGAGGTGAACAACTTTTATTGCAACTTTTTTTTAATCCGATTTGACTTTGAAATCTTAAATAGAAACCCCTATTTTTTATTGCAGATTTGGATTCTCCGTGAAAAAATATGTAACTTTTGTATGAGACATTTTTTTCGTTTCATGATAGATGGCGCTGTAATCGGCAAAAATGAAAATGAGTTGAAAATTGTTGAAAAATGGTAATATCTAAAAAAATACACATCAGATTAGGAAAATCAAAGTAAATTTTTTGATATTTTTGAAAATGCTATCATGTGACACCGTCTACCCTCCTGCAATGCATTCTTAGGAGGTCCTCGAGGATGTCGAGGACGAGGAGGTCTTCAAAATTGGCCCGCACGTTCACCCGATTTGACTTCTGCCGATTTTTTCCTGTGGGGAAGGCTAAAAGAGAGAGTTTACATGGATGTACCAACAACCCCAGAAAATATGCAGCAGCGAATTATCAATGAATGTGCAAACATTAGCGCAGAGACACTTATAAATGTCGGATTGTCTTTCAGACACAGAGTTGCAATGTGCATTAGAAACAACGGACATCATTTCGAACATTTGCTTCAATGAAACACTTGTGAGAGGCAAGGGGACTCAGAGTAATCAAGCACCCCGAGATAGTGAGAGGCAAGGGGATTCACAGTAATCAAGCACCCCGAGATAGTGAGAGGCAAGGGGACTTACCAAAATCAAGCACCTCGAAGGGAACAAATTACTACTACGTCCACGTCGTTGTTCCTGGGTAAAGCTAAAAGTAATCTAAGAATGCATTGCAGGAGGGTAGACGGTGTCACATGATAGCATTTTCAAAAATATAAAAAAATAATTACTTTGATGTTCCTAATCTGATGTGTATTTTTTTGAGATATTACCATTTTTCAACAATTTTCAACTCATTTTCATTTTTGCCGATCACAGCGTCATCTATCATGAAACGAAAAAATGTCTCATACAAAAGTTACATATTTTTTTCACGGAGAATCCAAATCTGCAATAAAAATAGGGGTTTCTATTTAAGATTTCAAAGTCACCCCCCTCCCGCCCCCGGGGGTGGTGCAGGGGGTCGAGCTTTATGTTAATGGATGACCCTCTTCGAGGTGAACAACTTTTATTGCAACTTTTTTTTAATCCGATTTGTATTTTTCCAAATATTCTGAAAAACAATTTTAAATGCCTCACCCTGTATATTCTGTAAAAATTCTCCGTAACGTTGTATAAGTTAAGTAGCATTGTCGAGCAAGAGAGAAAGAGCAAAGGGAGACAAGAAGAAAGAGCTACAGAGCTCATAGAGCGAAAACCCTCTTACAGGATACAGGGCTAACGATAAGTCTCGTTCGAGAAAAAAATTCTAGTGCAATGTGAGGAGTAAAAATATCGTTATGTTAATATCGCTCTCGTTTAATACGTCTAATTCTTCAACGAAAAGATCCGTTGCAAAATATGTGTTCAATGTGCGAATTCGCTCCAAGATCTCCCCAGACAACATGCATGTCTAAACGACGTCTTAAAGACGTCTAAAAAGAGACATCTTTAAGACTTTACTGAAAGACGTCTATAAGACGTCAGAAAAAAACGTCTTAAGACATTGTCAAAAAGACGTCTTTACGACGTCTTTATAAAAATATAAAATATTGATTATATGTCAAGTAGTGTTTATATAACCTTTAAAGTTCGAATTAATACATTTGTTAAAGCATCTGTGACATATATTGCTAAGATGTTTGAAAGTATTTTAAAAATAGAAAAATTTGTAAAATTAGAATAATGAGATTTGTAATGCAATATATTGTAGTGCATAATGATTGTGGCAGTTGTGACAGCCACGCATAACCAGAACTGCACATTACTGACAGCTTATTATAGAGTATCGATTACTTTCAAGGAGGTGCTTAGCAACACAAAAGATTCATAAATTAATCCGCTAGGAGGAGATAATTTTTAAAAGTAACTCGCATTTAAAAATCGTTGAAGAATCCCAGACAGCACACGACGTCCAATGGACGTCCATTTTTGTTCTTATTTAGTCCAAACGTCCATGGACCTAATATGGACGTTTTAAGAACGTACATTATTGGACGTACAAAATATGCTAATTTTGGTACGTTTTAAAGATGTCCATTTTATGTATTTATAAGAAACATGCGTTTGGCGGCTCACATATGTCTTTATTTATATGTTGCAACGTTATATCTATTCACGGATCGCAAAGGCTGTAGTACTTAATATATACAAGTGACAGTTAAAGTAGTGCTTACCTGTTGTAACGATAACGTCGTGCGGTTCATAAGGAATTCTTCTTATAATAATTTCGATGTCGTTTTCAATATCCGACCAATAAAGGTGGTTTATATTTCAAATAAATTAATACATTTCATGAATATATTTCAGATAAATGAAACAATTAAAAATGAGTAACATTCAGTATACCTACCCTGATGGAAAAATTTATCTGAAAACGTAAGAAATTTGCTGAAATTTGATTGAAAATCTCTTGCAATTGACCCAATTTTATTATCATTTCAGCAATTTTTCATAAAAAAATTTATTTTCAGTGAAATTCTGCAAATTTCATAATATACAACATTTATAAAATC